TGTCCAGCTTTTGCATGCATATGAGGTTATTGAAAATACTATGGCTTGGGTCAGGCGCACCTTAGTCAAATCAAGCTGACATCTTTGCTCTTCAACACTTTAAAAAGGTCTTGTGCAGCAGATAATGCAATACAGCATTTGATTTCTTGACTGCTGCTTTCATGAGTGTTAATAGTTGATCCAAGAAGAATGAAGTTCTTGACAACTTCAATCTTTTCTCTGTTGATAAGAATGTTGTTTATATTTCCAGTGGTGAGGATTTTTGTTTTCTTGACATTGAGATGCAATCCATACCGAAGGCTCTGCTCTTTGATCTTCATCAGTATTTTAAGTCTTCACTTACAGCAAGCAAGGTTGTATCATCTGCATATCGTAGGTTGCACATGAGTCTTCCTCCAATTTTAATGCCAGGTTTTTTTTCATATAACCCAGCTTCTCGGATTATTTGCTCAGCATACAGGTTGAATAAGTATGGGGTTGAATACAACCCCATCGCACACCTTTCTTAATTTTAAACCAATCAGTGTTCATATGTTCTGTTTGAACAACTGCCTCTTGGTCCAGCTACAGATTCCTCATGAGCACAATTAAGTGTTAAGGAATACTCATCCTTTGCAATGTAGTCCATAGCTTGTCATGATCCATACAATCGAAAGCCCAATATATATTATTCCATCACAGACAACATTGTACTTCAAGATCTTGTAATTTTTTTTTTTTTTAATAATGAATGTGATGTTCCTCTTCAATTTGTTATTCCAAGCTTAGTAAACCATACGATTTTCAGATTAAAATGGCCAACACCAGTCCACTTCAGCTAATGCCTAGCAGTCCTGGTGTGGTGCTGTGGGTTAATGTGCTAGACTGCAAAGTCGGTTTAAACTGCAAGGTTGGCGGTTCAAGCTCACCAGCTGCTCCTTGGAAACCCTATACAGGGTTGGATCTGACTCGACAGCACTCAACAACAACAATGCCTAGGTTATCGATCTTTATGCCTTCTATTTATTTTTTTAACTTCCACTTTTCTTAGATTTTTGCTTCAAACATTCCATGTTTCTATTAATGTTTACAGCTATTCCTCATTCTGAGCTGTGAGTCATGAGCAAACGAAGGCCCCAAAAGCTTTACTCCCTTTGCATCATCATAGCCAACTCTGCTTTGAGGAGGCAGCTCTT